CCCCCCCCCCCCCAACAACAACAACAACAACTTACCTGCGTGGATGGAGTTGTAGCTTCTTGAACATCGACCGCAAGAGCCCACGAATCTTCGGACATTTTCAAACATTAATTTGGCGTTTTTCTTGCGAGGCAAACAACCACTTTTACCCCCCCCAAAAAAAAAAGTTTGGAGTCAGCGTGAATGATGTTGCGTCGAAGTGAGCTGACGACGTGCCGCTGACCTGGACCAACCGCAACCCGCTGGACCACACCACCGATGCGCCATTCAGGAGCGTCGGAAATGTGGCCGTGTTTAAGACTTTACGAGAAGAAGCAACCAACAAACGTGGGAAAAGTGCCAGTTATTATGCAGCTACGAGTTATTTGACAATGTATCTCATTATTCCGATATCTTGAGCTTAAAATTGAAGGAAAAGTTGAAGGGAGTCCCGATAAACGGCGTATTCAACCCTCTTATAACTATTTAAAAGTGACTATTGCGTTTCTGTCTGTCTCTATTTGTATGATGTTAACTGTAAAATATGTTTATAATTGCTTTATGATATTTTTTATGCAACTGTGAAACAAATTTGTGTTTTTAGAACACTTGAATGCACGGTATTTTTGTATGTACGAGGTTTATGAGGAACACCTGAAGGCATCGTAGTATTCCCACCCTATGTGCAGAGTGAACCTGCTGACACACCCATTACACAATATCTATACAGACCTGCTACATGACAAGGTATTGTACCAATTCAGGCAAATAGACTAATCTCATCTTCATGAAAATGCATTAAAAAACAACTTGCACTAACATTTCACATGCTGGAGCTTTTATAACTGATCTTTATTCTGTTTTAAATGTGTTTACTATTTGAAATAATATGATAAATAATGATGAATCTTACTCTATTGATGTCATATGAAGTGTTTTTTTATTTGGGTTCCTAGAATCACAGTTTTAATCTTGATATGTATTAATCTGAATGAGTTGTAGTATTTTGTCATGGTCAAGTTCATGTTTATTGTTTATTTGTAAACTATACTGTCAGATCAGAAAGTGCTTCATGAATAAAATGTATAAATATATTTATTAGAATAGCTTTTTTTACAGTAGGGCTGCAACTAATTATCATTTTAATTATCAATTAGTCTGCTTAATTATTTTTGATTAATTGATTATTATCTTCTATATACAGTACTAGGAGGGTTAAACGCATTTCCCACTTAAATGTAGATGTTATGTGCTGAACTAGGGCTGCAGCTATTATTGTTTTGATTAATTAATTAATTGTCGATGAAAAACATCCATCAATAAAAATATTCAACGTACACATAAGACATACAGCACATTTTACACAGCAGATCAGTGCTTCACATAGGAAGAGAACTATTTTTAGATCTAAAAACTAAAAAGTAATTTAAGGAAAAAATACTTTTTCTTTCTTTGATGTTTTCTTTGTCTTATGTGATCACAAACTGAATTTATTTGGGTCTTGAACTATTTGTCGGAGAAAATAAGCAATTCGATAACATCACTTTGCACAAGCTTTATGATTTGTTTAGGGTAATTCTTTTGACCCTTTTATCGACCAAAATAAAATATATAATGAAAGTTGCAGCCCTGCAGTCACTTAACCATTTAAGCGGAATTTGCCATTAACCTTCCTACAATTTGATTGTTGTAAGTGTGTGTGTTTGTGTGTGTGCTGGTGCGTGACCGTGTCTGAGAGGCTGAGAAACAGATAGACAGTGAGGGGGAAGGAGGGAAGGAGGGAGGTGGGGGCCTACAGAGTTTTATTGGCTGCAGGTTGATTCAATTTGGAGGCGGATGTTGAGTTTCAGCCAACCCACCAACACACACACACAAACACACAAACACACACACACACACACACAGATCCTATCTACATTTTCGCAACTAACCAAAATGACTTTATAAACACACATTAATTGTCATGGTAACCTCGCAAGAAAACAGATGGATCAAACCGAGTGATCACAAAACATAGAGACAGCCAAACACCCACATTGGATTCAAGACATTAAGCGCTTTCCAACCCCACCGGAGGGAGGAAGGAGAAAGAGATTATAGGTGATACGAAGGGGGACATGTAGTACTCCCTCGCCCACCCATCTGTTCTTTCAAGCCTCCCCCTTCACTCTCCTGGTGTTACAGTAGATGTAATTTACTCTGATCCTTAGCTAATACAAAAAGGATACCTGAATGGTTCCTGTTGTCATCGGTGTCAGGGAGGGCTGGAGTGAGTGGGTGGTGCTGATGCTCTGAATGTGCATCTGATGAGGGGGGGGGGTGGTTGGGAAGGTCTGGACCCTTGTCTCAGCACCCTCGCTCTCTCTCTCTTTCTCAAAGCCCTCCAACTCCAGCATCCACAGGGAGGAGGAGGAGGAGAAAGAGGAGGAGGAGGGAGGAGAATAAATGAAACAGTTTTTGCAACCACATGTTGCTGTGCTTGATTGAACTACTGCAGCAGCTCCTGCCTACCTTCCCCTTCTCTTTGCATTGTACGTCTAACTAACGATGTGGCCGCTGCATCTGTAGCTTCTGCCACTTGTGGCAGCACTCCTATTCCCTCTACGCCACAGAGAGAGAACAAAAAAAAGCGGAACTGAGAGAGGTCGGAGAGGGGGAGGATATCTTTCATGATAAGTGGACTTCTGACAGAGAGAGATCCTTGCTGCATACCCAGCTGACACAAATGAAAGGTAAGATAATGAGACTGATGATGTGATCATATCAGATGCATTTTAATGCCGCCTGTGTGTGTGTGTGTCTCTTCTTGATGATGCATAAATTAAATGTCATTTGTTTGGAATGAAGAAAAGGTCGACCAGTCAGATGATTAAAAACTACCAGTGATGCATCTTGATTTATACTGTAACAGATATCCAGACAGTGCGTCTCAACAGGTGGTTAACACAGCATCTGCTCTCTGTTTTGACACTAATGAGTGCAGAGGAGTGTGGCAATGCTGATAGGAAATGTTGAGAGTTTGACGGTTTGGTGGTCTTTTAGCAAAAAAATCCCCCGGAGGGAAACAGGGTGACTCATGTGACTGAGCCAACCAGGAGAGAAGCATCCTGGGACTGCCACTTTTAACACTAATTACTATAAAGTGAAAGACCGTAAAGAAAAGGATGCCTTGGAAAGAAAAAAAACTGTCATTAAAGCATCTTGTTATCTTGTTTAGAATTAGAATTAATATCACCTTCACCTGTATAAGGTAGATGTTTAATTTAATTTCTTTGTATTCATTTGTGATTATGTTTTGATGTTCAGTTTCTTTCTTATGTTCCAAGTTTTGGTATTACAAGTTTTTATTGTTTTTATCAAGTCTTTTCTTTTATTCACCTGTACAAGGAGATTGTCTCCATAGAGGCATAAAGGGATGTATTCCTATTTGCTTTCTCAATCTGTGGCTCACTCGACACACGATGGCACTGTTGAGACAGACAACTAAATAGTCTGTAATTACATCTGTATGACCTTTCCCTCGCCATAAATAACCACATGGTGCCTAAAACCCCAGTTTGACTAGGCTATTGAAAAGACTGATCGAATTTGTTATTGATTCCGAAGGACTTCTGTTGCCAGGGAGTGTGTGGAAGTTGTGCGTGCATGGAAACCAGTTGAACCCTGTTTGGATTTTCTATATGGCAATATGATTTTGGTGGGTTGTGTGAAAGAGAGAGATCGCCTGGCGTTTTAATTGCAATCAGTCACAGTATCAAAAATAAATGCACACTTGAGAGATGTTACTGGTCAGTCTGCAGGCAAGCAGAGCTGTCTCTATGGAAATTGCTTTCGTCATAACACTTCCTATCAAGCCTGCGCTGGGGCTCTGGTCGTGCAGCAGACACAGACCCTTGACAGCCCATAAGCAAGATTGCTGGTGGAGGAGACGACATTATCAGTGAAACACAGCCCCGAAGCAACAGATAATTTTATTGTATAACTTACATAATTAGTGGCTCTGCATTCCTCCAAGAGCATTAATCTTTATATCTTAGGTTTCTGTTTTTCACCTCATATGGCACTGAATATAGCACTGGGTTTTTTCCCCCCTCTCTCCTGTTACATTGTTTGTGTGTTGTAATGATGATGCCACCCTAAATTTGTTTTATTGCTGTGACCTTTATCTCAAATACCTGCGGCACCTGTCCCAAGGCTGCCGCAGGTCACTGAAGATGATTGAGGTTGCAATAAATAAAACCTGCTCTACTGAACTGACATCTAGATGTCTGTTTACGTCTAGTTTTGGAGCCTGTTGAGACCCTGCTGTGTTTATAATGTTATTGCTGTGTAGCATTTAAGTGCTAAAAAGGATGAAAAAAGAAAGGTTTTCTGCTATTGTGCTCGATTGCAATTAAAGTCTTCAATATTAGATAAATCCATATGCAATTATAGAATAATCATATTAATGAATTGTGTAAAAATGAAACAATCATTTATATTAAGTGTTCTAGTTTTATAGGGGGGAGTTTTATTTTATAGTAGACATTTTTCATTTCGTCACTTTTTATTTAATAATATGATATAATGTTGATCCCCTGCCTCTTAAGCAAGCTCAGCAAGTGCTACCAAATTTAGCCAGTTAACAACAATGCTAATAATGCTAACACTGACTGTCTTTACTTAAGGAAGCTCGCATTCTCGTTGCTCTAGCTGGCTATCATGAGCTAACTGATTAAATGTGCTAGCAGTTGCTACTACTTATCACAATAGAATAATACATGAAAATTCAATTCTTCAATTATTTCACAAACTCTTTCACTATATATATTTATTTTACACAATGTATTCACATGTCTATATGTTATTTAATATTAAACACAGCTTTTATTTCTGACATTAAGTGTGTAATTATTTTTTTTTGACATGCGTCGACACACCAGAATCCTAAAACCAGCACCATGCCTGGACTCATTAACAAGGAGAACCGGAGCGCTCTGCCCCTCAGTGTGTCAGACATCACTTCCTGTGTCAGGGGTTATACTCTGGCAATGACAGCCTCTATGACCTATGAAAATATTGAGGATCATGCAATTGAGGGTGAGTACAGGAGACTAATTTGTTTACTGTTACACCACCTTGTTACACCAGCCTCTTTCAACTATAATCCCACTTTATGCTCTGAAACACACTGATTTAAAATTCACTATTATCGACTGAATGTGTGTAATCGCTTGTTTTGCTGTCTCTGGGTTCGTGCTCTTATTTTTCCCTCTCTCCTACTTGCCTGTTAGGGATCTTCATTTATCCACTGGAGGAAAACTCTATTGTTGTGGGGTTCGAGTCAATGATATCCAGTCAGATTATAACACTGCAAATCAAAGACAAGGCCAAAATTGAGGACTGTTTTCTGGATTGCTGCAACACATCTAATGGAGCCCTCCAGAGTAGCAGCGGTAAGGTGAAAACCGCATGCTGTAATCAATATTGTTATATTAACAATGGATCAAGTTACTATGTCAAATGTGGAAGGGGGCCACTCTGCAGTCCCCCCTTCAACTATAGAGCATTTTAGCATCTTTCAGCTCATTTAGCTTGTTTTGATTTGGCGTCCTGCAACTTCACTGCTTTGGTTCAGTCTCGCTGCTCACATCAACCCTGTTTTCAGCAGTTTAGCAGCTAAAGAGCCAGATATCTTGCTCAGGAGTTGGTGGAGACCAAAAGAGTGCTAAAATTAGCGCTATTATTGGACTTACATTTGTCAGGTTGCCTGAAAAACAACGTCAAATGGCGTAGTGTCTGCCGATGTGTAACTAGGCAATTGTTTGTTAGTATCAGCGATATTAACTTAAAAGGCTTCTTGTTGTGCTGCCTCCAAGTGGCCAAAATTATTTGATGCAGGTTTAAAGGGGCACTCCACCACTTTTACATGAGGATCTTGACTCATACTTAAGAGTAAAAATCTGGAGGAGTGTGATATAATAATAACATAATCATAACATTATAGTGTGCTACTTCACTTAAAGGAGCTACAAGGACCTTTTTTTTATGTGTTGATTCTGGCGGCCCCTTCTCCCACCTTGTTTCGTCTGAGACTAAAACTAAGACTTTTTTATGAGCAGTTAAAAACTCCTTGTACATTTAAAGAAATAAGTAAAATACCTTCTTTAGTATGAACTAACTAATGAGGACAATCGTTTGAAAGACAAAACCACTAATAAAACAAAAACGCAGCTGAGTGAGCAAGAGTGACAGCTATTTTAGAGATTAAAGAGAAGAATCAATGACAAAAATGAAGAAGAAATTCATTGATAACTATTGGACATATACGTTGTGGCAAATAAATTTGGTTTACTAATCTACTCTGGTGTTACAGGACACATAGTGATGGATGAAGATATGGAGAGGACAGTGTTAGTGGTTAACCTTGGGATCATCCCTCCTATGGAGACTGTCCACATTCTGGTTAGTACCTCGTCTGAGCTCTTCACTCTGCCCAGCGGAGGCATCAGGGTCTCGTCCCCACCGGTGTGTACGCCTCGGGTACAGAGGACCATCAACGAGGAGCAGGGACTATCCCCAAACTTCTCCAGAATGTAAGACACGAACATACATTTATGAAAACCAACCATGTTGTGTCCAATATTGGTGTATTTTAAAGTAGGATTTGGCAATGTAAAAATTGATTTTTAGGTCCCAGATATATTTTTGTATGGATAAAAACGGACACTACTAATATCTTACACGTGCATTAAAGAAGACTCCATTTTAATGTAGTTATGCTTTTTGATACATTTAGGCGAGACAGGCATATTTGTGCCTCAAGTCCTCACGATCAAACTCCCAACTCCGCTCAGCTGTGGTTGGCTTCACTGCTGGAGGAGGAGGCCATAAACTCAATGGACTACGAGTTTAACTTCCAGCTGGAGATACGGGCTCCCTATCTACTCGCAGGTCAGAGAATAACCAATCCTAGTAGTATTTTTGATAGATATATATTTTCTTGGGGCAACTCTACTTGTCATCTGTAGAATTGCACCCATGAGCATTTCTAGAAATACCAGATTTTTCCAGTATGTATCATGGTATAACAGGCCTGATTACTTGAAATAGCCTGTAATCAAGCATTGAATTTCAGGGCTCCTTGAAAGCTCCAACGTCTGCAATAAGAGGTGAAGGATGCAGTGAAGTGCAGGAAAGGAAAAAAAAAAGCATTGCTCTTTTGTGTGTGTCTGCAGTTGTGTGTATGTGTGTGTTTTACAATGTCACACATTGCTAAATGCTCTTTTATGGTTGGGTTAAGTGTAAATGGTGGAATGATCCGACATTTTGGGAAATACGCTTTCTTAAGTTAGATGAGAAGATTAATATCATTCTACAAAGTAACACTTTATATCGAATTTGTTTAATTTGTACAAAAATGTAGTGTAAAAACAACCAGTTGTTGAACTATTTCTTGGCTTGAAGCAGAGGTCCGTGTCAGGCAGCCATGAAATAGCCCAACACATAACATCCTTAAAATCGCAAGTGGTCTTAGTTAGTGTGCTTTAGTTTTGTTACCTTCGGACAGAGCCGAACTGTTCCCATCTGTTTCCAGTCTTTATGCTAAGCTATATAGCTTCATATTTTTCGTACAGAGAGTGGTATTGATCTTTTCATCAAAGTAATTAAACAAATTTTAATTTAATAAATGTATTTTTCCAAAATGGTGTACTGTTCCTTTAAACTGGACAACTTTGTGATTTGAGCATCATGGAAATTCTCATGTTAGACTTTATAATGGCTCGTTGTTTATTCTGAGTGTTTGCTCAAACTGCTGCAGCACCTGAAGACAGGCACACACACACACACACACCCCATATAAACACACACACACATCTATATATACACACACACACACACACACAATATATATATATATATATAGATCTTGGTTTTCTTAAATCTCTTGGAAACGTGAGCTCATATAAGTGTGCGTCATTCCAGTGGGTCCTGCTGCTTTCTTATTGCTGTTATTACTGTCGATAGATCCACTGGTTATTTGATCTGCTGTTGTTTTTTTGCTCTGTGTAGGTGTAGAGAGCCCGTCTCATGCTATCCGAGCCGATGCAGACCCTCTGGCCCGCTCTGCCACCAGCGTCGTCATCACTCTGGCTGACAAGTACACCTACGACTGTCCTGTCCAAATCCTCATCTACCCCAGTGGTAGGTCTAAGGCTTGAAGACTCACTCACAGCACAGCCCCTCCAATTTTAGTCTTTCCTGCAATATTTTGAAATTGTTTATTTCACCTCTGTCTTCTTTTACTGATCTTTTTTTGTTGAGCTTATAATCAGATCAGTTGGGAGGTGATTCATTGCCTCACATTGTGTGTGTGAGTGCCTCATCAGGAACAAAAAAGGTCCTCCTGTTGTAAATGTATGACATGCCGGCGGAGTCTGACTCTATTGTGTGGGTGTGCAGTGTCAGGTCTTTCTTTTAATCCCCTGTGCTCTCGTCTCTCTCTCTCACTGCCGTCTTGACCTATAGTATGTGTGGGCCAGTTGTCTACCAGAGGCGGGAATGAGCCACGGCCTTGCTAATCCGATAGGCTTCTTATGAAGGTTTTGTTCACAAACAGACCTGCTGCCACTGCTGGGCAATTTAATTCAGCTCAGACCGGTGCAGCAGTTTCAATCACAACATGGATGCTCAGCTCAAGCTGAGAGATGGAGGATACTAAACAGCAGTACAGGCATGCACGCGTTTTATAACAAACAAAACCAAAAAAAAAACATCAGCTGTCTATTTTCATTATCAGCTTGGTTGATTAATGACCAGAAACACAGGCAGTGTGTCATATAAATTACTACAGGCTTTCTGCAAGTTAAATTTTAGACTTTCACATCAAATGCAATTTAATACATATTTCATAGTCAAAGCATGAAACACATCAAAGAAAACCAGTAGGGATAATAAGTACCAGAGTTTTTTACCAAGTGCATAAATTTATTGACATTCATAACACATTTTTGTCTAAATAAGCTGCAGGAAATGGATGCATGAATAGATTAACCAATTAAAAGATCCACATATAGACATACTATTGTTCCAGACCTCTGACAGGTCAAAGGTCTGGAACATTAGCACTAAAAACATTTTATAACTAATGTTACTGCCGACCGCAGGCTAGACAAAAACATTTAGGATTTTGGTGAATACAATTTAAGCCTTTTATTCTAAAGACTTTTTATGAGAAAACTAGAAGCAATGCTTTTTAAGGCCTGCAGATACTCTGCACTGTAGAGAGATAATAGTCCAAATTCCCAGGATTCACTCAACCCTCAGAGCTAATTTTGTTGTCTTGAGACCCAGCTGTGGTACAGCATCTTTATTTGCAATCATCTCTTGATTTTCACATCAATATGGGGATAATTCTGCACTGCAGTTTACCACACTCCCCCATCTTGTTCTGCCACTTGGTGTCAATTTCAGGCATTGTCCATCTGCTTTATAATCTGTCTGTAATATTTCCATCTATGTCCTGACCAACGGTGTCTCTTTAGAGCCTCATCTACCACATGTGCTCATCGAGAACGGAGACATGACGCAGGAGGAGTACGATGAATATCTTCACGGCCGGAGCGATTTCATCAAGGCCACCAAGAAGGACCCAAGCAATGGGAAGAAAGTGAGTGTGACATTGACATCAGCACCTGAACTGATGGCAACACTGTCATAGCAATATCACTTTGAGGGTGAGGGTGGTGAAGAATACACTGTAGTGCAATACAATTCCCTGTAACACAGACTGCCACGATTATGTCACATTATTTTCTAACAATATAATGTGATCCAATACTATGATACCACACGCTATGGTTTTAAAATCAATGTAGGGTTGGATCAGCTCCTGTCTGACACATGTCTCAACAAACACTGAACATTATGAGCTACACAAAGGTAGTATTTTTGCACTTTTATTGAGTTCGGTTGTGTCAACTTTTGCAGGTGTCTTTTTTCACAGCAGCCACTTTAACATGAAATAGTAGGGTAAACATAGTTATCAATGATACTAATCCAGATTCCGATCCATTGAGGTCAAACAGGATCAGGGTGCTGCTTGCTATTTTGCATGTTGGCTCACTGGACTAAAGGTTTTATTCATCATCATTATTTTACAAATCATTGCCATACAACATACCCAAAAATGCAGATACCCTTTCTCTGATAATCTTGTATCTACAAACAAAATGCATTATTTATGCTTTCTTGCCCTTTTTAAGGAGGTTGTCAAGGTAAATATGTGTCTGTCTGTCTACTATAATATATCCTTTACATCTAAAAACATACTACAGGAAATCTACTAGTCAAAAGCTTAAGTTATACTAGTCCTTAATGCTAGTTACCATTAGCAGGAGTTTAACTACTTTTTTTGTCAGCAAAATTGATATTTTCTCAATTACAGATAACAGCTACAGGAACATAAGTTAGTAAATCTAGTTTTGTTTTAGCTAAGGCAAGTTGTGCATTTAAATTATGCATTTATATTTAGATCTTTATTTTACATGGTGAAGCTAATTCAGTTTTTGATTACTTACCATACTGCTTTTTCCCTTTGTAGTTCTAATGGTTAGACCAGTTCAGCATTATTATTTTTTGTTAATTCACTTTTGAGAGTAATGCATGTGTCCTTTCTCGTCCCTGCTATGATGAGGTTGTTAAGTGACCAGCAGACCGAAACAGGAGAAGGAGAGCACTTAGCCATAAAAAAGGGTTTCTATGGTAACACTCCAAAGGCTCGCCACATTCTGCCTGGAATTTCCTGCACATCTACAATAATTGATGCGCTCTATCTATTGACCTGATCGCTTGTCTCCCTTTTTTCGCCTCCTTTAAGTGATAAATTAAAGCCTGCAGAAATTCACAAAAAGTCCAGTTATCTCATGGTGCCAAATCCCTCATGATTCAGGCTTTTTGTTTTTGATTCCTTTGCTTTTTTACAGGTAGATATCATTCACAGGCGACTCCATAAAGACATCCTCCACAACCCTGTGGTCATGTTGAACTTCTGCCCTGATCTCAAGTCTATCAGCTCAGACCTGAGAAAGGTTCACGGAGAGTTTATCTTCCTCATTGACCGCAGCGGCAGCATGAGTGGGGTTAACATCAACCGTGTGAAGGTATTTTTTAATGTCAGTGTGGTGTTTTATTTCTTGTTTATATATCACACATCATGACCACTTTAAAGACGGTGTTTGCAGATTACACTGTATTTGTTGAAACATGTTGTAGTCGACTCCAAACTCATCAAAATATACAAAAGATTAAATGGACAGCCAATCCATCAAAACACACAATAAACACGATTCATCATTTGGGGGCTGTTTAATTGCTTTCTAGGCTCACAGCCATACTGATTCTGCAGCCTTTGGAAATTACAGATGTGGTTAGCCAACTGTGTGAAGGGCATGTACACAAGGATATTGATCAGACAGATCATTCACTATTCACCAAATGTCCCCCAGTTGCTAGGGTTTCGTCAGCAAGTGTTTAAGGTCTTATCAGGCTTCATGTGACGTTTCTTCAATCCCTACAGAGCCGGTATTTTATTTTTTTTTAAATCTACGTTATTTGGCTGCTTGTACACTGACCCTGCCCTGAGATGTGATGTTCACTTGTGACTCAGACTCAGGCTTTTATTGGATGTGTGTGATACATCAGAGTCTGGGCTTGAGGCTAGAACAGTGATGCAATCATTTTATTTACCACTTCTTTCAAGAAATCCTGCAGAACCTGCCCACCTTTCTTTAAAAGTATCTCTAAAATCTGGAACAGATTTTTTTTATTTGTTAATGCACCTGAACAGGGTGATAATCTCTACCCTCCCTTCTGGTTTCTTGCCACAGCGGCGAGCACTGTGCGTGCCCCGTGCCTTTCTATGGTGAAAGAACACAACCAGTGTGACAGTGTGTTACTATGAGGCAGACGGCACATAGTAGCAGCGTCTTAGCCATACAATATCAGTGTCATCTTATTGCCCCTTTATTACTTATTGCCCCTAACCCCAGCCATGCAGCCAGAGAAAGTGCACCTTTATCAGCAGTATTAAGTTCAGCTTCTGCGAGGATGTCAGCGTTTGAATCGCCTGCAGTCATGGGTTTGTTTTAGAAAAAACATACATTTTAGGGGGCCCTGGGAGCCCACATACCAAGGCCTTGCTGCAGCAGCCATGAGTTTGAGTCTAACCTGTTCCCCTTTAATCAGCCTTTCCTGTCTATGTTGAGCTGTCCTGTCTAATAAAGGCAAGTAGTCATTCCATATATTTATTCATTTGCAAAAATCGCCTTTTATGAATTTGGGCTCCTGCCCCTTGTAACATCCTCTGCATGTCCCTGCTCTGCTGTTGAAGAGGCAGTGAAGGATAAAATGATGCGTGATGCCACTCACTCCTCTCCTTGAGAATCTTGGCTGTTCAGCTGTGTAGAGCACCGTGCTTCCATTCAGCCAGACATCAGAAGACGTAGTTGTTCTTTTTTATTTTCTGGACATGATCATAAACTGCTCTCGGTCTCTCTCTCAGGATGCCATAGTGGTGATTCTCAAGAGCCTTGTCCCAGGCTGCCTTTTTAACATCATAGGCTTCGGCTCTACATTCAAATCACTCTTCACAACCAGCCAGAACTATGAGGAGGTAAAGCAGTTGTGTACTGCATTTACTGAATTATTTATTATATAATTTGATAGAGATACAGTGTACATTTTCTGTGCTATGTGAGTGTAACATTTGTGTTAACTACACAGTATAGACCTTGTAACTCAAGAAACAGCATTTTATCTTTTATCCTCCTCATCTCCACATCTCAGGAAGCCCTGGCCCTGGCTTGTGAGTATGTTAGAAAGATGAGAGCCGACATGGGGGGGACCAACATCCTGGAACCGCTCAATTGGATCCTGAGGCAGCCGATGTTCAGTGGACACCCCCGCCTTCTATTCCTGCTCACCGACGGGGCCGTAAGCAACACAGGCAAAGTTATCGAGCTGGTCCGCAGCCATGCGCGCTACATCAGGCAAGTCTTATTGTCAATGCACTCTGAGCTCTGCTCTGAATTCTAGAATAAGGGAAAAAGATAAATACCTTGTTAGTGGTATTGTCCTTATTATCTAATAGCAATATTTGAATATTTCAAGCTGGCCTTAACACATTACAAAATGTACAAAATTCTAAATGTGATTCATACCTGTAGACATTATAAATACCATTCACACTGACATGAACATGTGTTAGCTGCTTGTTTTTAAGAGCATTGGCAGAGAAGTACTATATGTTGTGTCAAAGCAAATTATAATAACTTCATCTTTTGTTTATGCCCATTATTCAAATATCAAAATCTCAGGTCACGGATAACATAAAATCACATCCAGGGATTGTCAGAGGCTTAACTGGAACACCTAGTTATGGAGCTATAATCCTCCCAAAATGAAATCCGGGACCATGAATGCATTGAATGTTGTGTCAGTGTCAAACATGATATATATCACCACAAAGAATCTGTCAGATTTGTGCATTTCCTTGGTTTTAGATTAAAAGAAAGCTGTTTTAAGGCTGCATCTGGAGAAAGGAAAAAAAATGCTCCCTGAAGGCTGAAAACACCAACTGTCAACTTAGAGTGAACGCCGGTGGCACAATAGATCAGCAGTACACAGGGAAATCATTTCGTTTTGCAGTTTGTATCTAAGTCTCACATTGTGAATCCCTCTCCTGAGTCACTCTGGAGATAATTGACTTTTGTCTTCCCCCTTTTAATGGATGAATTCCCCCAGATGATTGCATTAGGTACACAGAGCTTGGCCAATTCATCGACACTTCCTGGGTCATTATCACACTGTGTTTACAAATCAGCGCAGCCAGTCAGAGACAAGACCAAACAACTTTGAATCTGCTCCGAAAATCCATGTTAGGTTTTTAACTACGTTGAAGGTGACATTTCCGTTTTAATCTGCACTCTCTGATCTCATTAAAAATGCAAAGGGACGTAGCTGGCACAATTAAATTAGCCAACTCATCCCTCAGTGAGAAATGGAATAAAAATGGTAAAGTTAAGCAGCAGCCAACCTCCCTGGATAATTCTGAGAAGCAGAAGGCATGTCTCAGATCATTTCCTGTTTGGTTCTTTTTTAGTCCAATTCTATGTTTGACAAATTAGATTGTTTATAGTTTATGTATCTCCAGAGCATCTCCTTAGATCCCTGCCAAATGTGTGCACATCCTGAGAAGACACCTGTTACCAATGCGCATATATCCCTCGATCTGTCCACGGAGCTGCCGTGTTTAATGTGTTTGTGCAGATGTTATACGTTCGGCATAGGACAGAATGCTTGCAGGAGACTGGTGCAGGGACTGGCGACAGTTTCCAAAGGAACAGCAGAGTTCCTGGCCGACGGCGAGAGGCTGCAGCCCAAGGTACTTATTTCCAGCTTTGTGTATCAATCCTAACGACAGCCAGCTATTCTGAGGGTCACTAGAGAGCCATTATGTGGTGGTTTCTAAGCACTGAGTGTCTACCACTTATACTAATTAGGAAATCATATCTCAGAGAAGCCATTCCCTTTATCTACTGGTCAGGGCAAAACTGTGTTTTGTATCTAAAAGTCTATTTTAGTTTATTTAGCTTATTTTTACCCCACAGATGATCAAATCCTTGAAGAAAACCATGTCTCCAGTTCTCAGTGACATTTCAATCGAATGGCTCTTCCCTGAGACCAAAGAAGTGCTGCTGTCCCCTGTTGGCAACACCTTCCTGTTTCCAGGGGACAGTCTGATTGGCTACAGTGTGGTTTGTGACACCACCCGCTATCACTCCAACCCCAAATCTGTAAGTGCAAGACATCTGCTGAAGGGAGACAAATGACTGCATGCAGGATGACTTTTGTGTCTTCAAATTACACCATGTGTTTGTTTTTGTTTTTTGGATGTTCAGTTAGATAAATTGTTTAAATTTAAATCTCTTATCCTTTACCTCTGAAAGGTGTTCCTATGAAGATAAAAGGGCTAAGGCTAACTATGAAGAAGCTTTTTAATCCCTTCTTGTGAATATCACTTTGTTGAAGCACTTATTTTGGATGTGTGACCTATTCAAAATCTCAACAGGATAAGAGGAGGCGATACAGCATGATGCGCTCTATTGAGTCCGCCAGCTCTGTGTTTTACCACTCTCAAGAAGAGGACCTTGTGAAGACAAGCGCAGACAGCCATGTTTCCTACAGGGAAGCACTCTCTGGTCCTCTGTATGACTCCTACCAGGACTCCATGACAGACGGCAGCCCTGCTACCACAGAGCAAGATGCCATGGGTAAGAAAATGCAGTACACAGTATCCTAAATGAGTAAAATTCTAATCTATCTATATGATATATAGATATAAGTCCCAGATTTAGCCTATAAGTATTTCTTTGCTTGGATTTTAAGCTTACAGTAGCTCAGAGAACGGTGTCAAAAGGTTTCTTGTAATTAGTGGCTATTTGTAGGACTAGTGGAGTGGCTGGACTACTGATGGCCCTCTAATGTAGCCAGCTAATATAGTTAATTGCAAGCTCACACAATGTATATATTAGTGCTAGGCCAATGAACTGGCCAGGCCTTTATATGGGCCAGTATTAGCGTGTTGCAGATATATTGCAGTACAGAAATGGAAAAAGTACTTTTGAGATAATTTTGAAACAGTGTCACCGATAGTTTAGTCAACACTGACCTTTTTATTCTTAAAAAAACTTAAAATATAGATTGTTTGTTAAATTACTATTAGAGAATTTTCAGTATCAGTATCTGTCTCACAAATCCAGTTTCAGTCAGGCTATAGTAGATATAAGGTTTGGTCAAGCCACCAAGTATCTGCTCTTTGGTTGGCTGAAAGCTGCTAGGGATGGCAGTGTTTGTTAGTCGGCCCGCCACTTTGGTCCAGGCTCAAATATTTCAACTATTTGATGGACTCACATGCTGACCTACAGACATTCATGGTTCCCAGTCAATGTATCCCACGGATTGTAACAAACCCTGGTACAGACATTTATGTCTTCATCAGGATGAATTTATATGGATTCTTATCATCCAGCAATTAAAAGTTTAATTTGTACAGCATGGTAGCATTGTCACTATGAACATCAGCCTCACAGAGCCAGGGGCAGATCTAGAAGGGTGGCATGCCCTAAAATTGCCTGGCCACTCCAGCTGCCACAGCAGCTGTAAAATGAATCACAGAAAAGCTGTGGGGAAGTGGGCGTCTTTGGAATCATTATTGTATAACAATCTTGAGTTAACAATCACTGATAGAGTTGCTCAAACTAACAATTACTTGTATGTGTTTGTATTTTGAAAAATTAGGGGTTGACTATTTCTATTTTTGAACAAAACATCAGGGTTGGATTGTAAGACATCACCAAGAAGGCGTGCATACAGTACCAACCAGATAATAGACTACAACCCTGCAAAGAGGGTCTACACTCCCAGTGATCCCAGCTCTGTGGTGGCAAAGAATCCACTGAGGAGAGCCAAGGTCCAGGAGCTGATAGGCCAGATGAGCCCCGAGCACGAGGCACAATGGAGGAACGACTACCAGGTGTGGTCCCACGCTGTGCCGAGCAATGTAACATGATTGCTTTTAAAATGACTTGCTCTGGTTTTGTTTGTAAAATGGGTCAACAGTTATTTCTGATTCAGGTTAGAATTTTGTTGTAGCTTACAGACCTCAAATAAGTGCTTCCAAGCTGAGCTTTCTTTAATAATACTAATCCACATGTAGGTTTAAGTACACATATGCAAATTAAATAACCCACAGTCTGTTATGATAATTAAGTCAGGTGAATCTTAGATTGTCATTATGTGGATAAAAAATATATATTTGTATTCAGACTGTGTTGACAAATTAAACAGCCATCTGACCCTTGTCTGGACTGGAGTATAATCAAGAACAGACTAATGTGCTCTCTTCAGTAATGAGGGGCAAAATATATGACTGGTAATTAGTTTTGAATATTCCTCAGGGAGCACGTTAGTATTACTAAACATTATTCACCAGGCTGTGAAGACATTGTTTCTTCTCTCCGTTGCACTGATGCCATGTTTAATCTATATCTAATAATTGTAAGTAAATACAATAACTTGTTTGTGTATTGCCACATAAATGAAAGAAGTTCAATTAAGATATTAATTTAACCTGTGCAAGAGGGGCAAGATGATTAAAACTCAAAACAGTATAAACAATCCCTCTGTTACATTTGTTTGAATAATTTTATCCTACTGCAGAAATCCAATTAATTTTAGCAAATAGCGCTGAAATGAATTAGTCGATCAACAGACAATTAATTCTACTGATTTGATAATCAATTCAAGTCATTTTTAAGCAAATTCCAGTAACACTTTTATGACCTGCAAATTACTACACTGTACATACAGTGAAAAAGAGGGCTGCTTATAATAAGGAAGCTTACTCCCACATTTTCAGTGCTTTGTCTTACAACAATAACAGTCATTACCTCAGCTGATATTGATATGATGGGACACAAAAGCTGTTCTAGGTTCTTCTCTAACATCAGTTTTAATTGTCAGCCTACACTGTGAGCCAGAGGTACAACACTCTTTCTTAGGATTTGATCCTTTGAAAGCACACACATAATAATTAATATCTATAGTTACAGAGGTTCACCCTTCCTCCAAAGCATGGCCTAATGTTTAGTCACCCAGCAGCCAGTATAATGTACACTATATTAATAATGAAACAACATATTTAAAAACCAGAGGAATGTATTTTGTTAGTGTGTCATACTTTTCAAATAAATGATACAACAACTAATTGCATTATCAGTTTTTTTCAATTCTTCCCGACATGTTACTCAGTAATAACGTTACTGTACCCTCTACTACCTACAGCAATTTCAGTACAAAAGTAATTGAACACAAAGTTGTTAGTTACCCCCTTAATCTCTAACCTCTTGTCCATTCATACATTGCACAACCTAAATAATTACACTTTAAATGCATGCTGTCATATCAGTATAATAAGTATTAACAAAATGTTGTTGTAATAAACTGAATATCTTTGGGATTTGGTCTGCTTTGGACATAATGAGAAAGCTGATATTTTATAATCAGTCAAATACAGGATTAAGTGATAAACATCACCACATTAATCTATAATTAATTAGCTAGTTGCAACAATATTTGCAATATAAATAATTTGCATGAGTTTCATCAAACAACAAACGTGTTTGTACTTTTTTCTTTACATGAGATTCCTGTTAAATACATAATCAAGAGTCTGTACTTCACTCATCACTTGAAAGCACCATGAAATACGAGCTAGAGTGAACTCACACTCAAATGCCCAGAAATACAATTAGTTGATGGTTCCATAACTTATTAAAAGGCTGGTTGCACCTGGGTATTTTGAATTGAAAACACCTTTATTTTGTTTGCAGCCACAGCTGGCAAGCCTGTGTGCCACATCTTCCAGCGGGCGCCCTGCCAGCTGTCACAGGCCACTCCCTCAGCAGGAGCCGCTTCTACAGCAGGAAGCCGACTCAGAGCTTTTCCATCCCCAGCCTCAGGACAACCCTCAGCTCAGCGGTATCAGCGTGCCGCCTGTAGCTCGCAACACCACTGGGGAAGAGGGGTCCAGATCGTCCACAGACAGCCCATCTGTTGGCAGCGTCGGAGATATAGGTGAGATCACAAGCACAAGCATTCTGTAGTAACTGTCTTTGCCTGAAATTACACAGACATTATGATTGTCCCTTTAAAGGCCCAGTGTGTAACATTTAGGAGGATCTCAATATAATAGAACAGAATATATAATTTATTTAATATAATATTCAGGTTGGTAGTAGGTATGTTTGATTGATATCACTCTCTCCTACGTCTGTAAAAATGAGTCTACATCGGGAAGACGGTCAGCTTAGTTTAGTATTAAGACTGCAAATAGGGTGAAACAGCTGGCCTGGCTTTCTCCAAACAGAAACAAAATCAATTTACCACCATCTCCTGTTTGTTTAATCTATACAAAAACTGAAGTGAAAAATGATAAATTG